CGCTCGTGGTGGAGGTGAGGGTAGAGCGGGCACATTGTCATGGGGCACTCGGCCTCGTTTATTGGCTTGAGGTTCAAGAGGGACCTCATCCATTTGATCATCCTCAACGTCCACATCCCCCAAAGCTATGTTTCCAAGCTCATTGTTTGCCATGATTGCACCTACAATTTCTCAACATGTTAGTAACAAGGAAGGAAAAGAAGATATTCCAAAAACACACCTAAATATATAATTAACACCGTTTTTAACTCCCCGACAATGGCATCAAAAATTAATCTCGTTCAATTTCACACCTCAAATCATGGTTATGAAATGGTAGATTGCAATAATAGTACCCAACAAGAGTCGGGGTCGATTTTCACAGGGAGCTATATATGAGAGTTAGGAGTATATATTGTAGTATGTGAGTTTGAACTACCTTAATTTACACTTCCACAAATTGGGATTGTTTCTATGTCTATTTTAAACTAAGATTGCAAAGTTAAGAAATGAAACTAAGAAATTATTTTTGTTGTTTTTCAAGTTTTGTAAAAAGCCTAGGGCTATGACCATCATCTAGGTGTTTGCCTAATGGGATATAGACCTTAATGCTTATTTTATTGATCGGGGTATATTATAGCTATCAACTCTCAATTACCCACTCAATACCTCTCGGTCAGAGAGTGATTTTGCCCAATTTGGCTTTCTCAAGTCCAAATGGGTATTGCACAAAACGGTTGATAAAAGCTCAAGTCGGGTTATTACTATCTCTAGGTTGAACCCTTTAATTGGGATTATCAATCTCTCGATTGATCCAATTTCTTGTTAGCCCAAATTTTCCTAGACTAAGTCTCTCTTTCTCAAGTAGAAACTAAGTCAAATAGGCATGAACTAATGTTTGTAACCATTAAATCCACAAATTAAAGCATGAACAAGGCTAAATAATAAACACTCAACCATAAACAAGCATTAAATTAAACACTCTTAAGGTTTACACACTAGGGTTGGGTAACAACCCTAGTAAAAATCTAGCTACTCATGCTTGAAATTGAAGAAATTGAAGAAAAAATGCTAATTAAACTCACATTGTAAAATCAAAATGATAAAATCTATGTTAAAACATCCCAAAATATAAAAAAAAACTACTAAAAGAAGCAAAAAGAAACGGCTATTGTAGTTGTTGATGTCAAAAATTCCCCTAATTTCGTGAAAATCTTCTATTTATACAAAGCTGACAATTTCGGACAAAAATACCCCTCGGGAGGTGCGGAAGCACAATTCCATGTGTGGTCCACAAGTTTCTTCAACTTGTCAGGAACTGGAGGTCTACGGCCACACAATTCTGATCTGCGGTCGCGAGGCAGTCTTTCTGCGGTCCGCAGATTTAAAACTGCGGTCGGAACTTGGTCTTCTGCGGTCCGCAACTTTACTTCTGCGGCCTTAAGGTGCGGTCCGCAATCTTGAGGGACTTGAATTTTGGAAAATTGTGCACCCTCTGAAGTTGATTTTCCATTCTTCAATTGCGACCGCACAATTCCTTTGTGGACCGCATTTTGCTAGGAAGCATGTTGGGTCTTTCTTCATTGTTTGCGGTCGCAGATGGAATTCTGCGGTCCGCACTTTGCAAGTTCTTGTGCCTTTTGTTGCCTTGTGTTTTGATTACTCCTTTTTGAGTCGGATTTTATTCCGTGAGTCCAACTTCCAACATTCCTGCAATTTTGCACATTTTATCAGATTCGGAAACATAATTAAACGTTTTTAGACTAAAACAAAAGATAAAAGGCACAAATAAGTAGTCAAAATCTCCACTTATCAGGTATTCTAAAATGTATTTTGATTTCCTTGAGTTTCTTCTAAATAATAGAACTTATATTTTGCCTTTGTATTGCATTTTGGTATTTGTTTTCTCTATTTTTTACTTCTTAGGCAGAACAAAAAATTGGAAGACTACTTTGAATAAATCATGATGCTGAAAATAGCAAGAAAAACTATATCAAAGCAACAAGTGGCTTTTTCAACCTAAACTAAAATTTTAATGTTTTCTTCCCTCTAGAGACAGAATAATGTCACCATAGTAGAACAACAACCAAGAAAATATTACACAAAAGTAATAGCATGCAATTCAGAATTTGAAAGAAACAAAAGGAGCAAAATTAAAGATGAAATTAAGCAAACGCTATACAAACAAATATGGCATCCGGAAATTCAAAAAATTTAAAATGCAGACAATGCTCAGAAAAATGGTAGAAATCAGCGGGAATCCAAAATATTCAATGCCTCAGTATATATATTGTCTTCATAGCTCAAAATAATAAAGAATATCGATAGATTAGTCAAAAAGTTACTTAGAATCAAACAAAATATGGAGTGGATTCGGGGAAGGGTAAATTGGCACTGTTACGGATTTTTTTGGACGAACCTGACGCCTCAAATTGGAAACTATTCAGAGATCTCGAAAAATTAAAGAATGAAAAGAAGACAGAGCGAAAATCGGGAGAAATCATACCTGAAATTGTAAGAGATGGATAAGAAAATGAAGAGAGCCAAGAATTCTTGAAAGTATGAAAGAATTGAAAAAGTACACTCCACTCTGAATTCGTGTCTGGGGAATGAAAGATACTGGAGTGAGCAATTTACATTTTTTATGATAGAATGTCAATTTTACCCTTGGTCGATCAACTTGGCTCTTCTTTATAATAGAAATGACTCGTAGAAAGTATTAGATTATTATTGTATTTCAATTACTGCCCCATGTTGAAGCACTACGTAAAGCTAATTAGCATGTACCGGAAGAATCCAGACAGCAATATCATCTTCATCAGTGGCGGAAAATTCAAAAACCATAAATTATTTTTGGAGTTTGCACTACTAAAGGTTCTAAAATCAGGAATCGTTCCTGGAGTTTGCATTAGTAAATTTAAAAATCAAGAATCGTTCCTTGAGTTTGAACTAATAAATGTTCAAGCAAATCATTATTGGAGTTTGAACTCCAATGCATTTTTAATGGGTTCCACTTGTAAATGCTTCGAAATCCAGCATTCATGCTGGAGTTGTGCTCCGTGTTTTAATTGGAGGCAAAAATATCAATTTAATTGGACCAGTAGCTCTCTACAATTACTATTTAAAATATGGCTAAACTCTAATAGATGGCCCAAAAAAGACCAACCCAGATAACTTTTACTTTATATAAGGCAAAGAAGGTCCAAATTTGGCCGAATGCTTTTTGTTCTTTTACAGTTCCGCTCCATTCATATTCTCATGTTAGCAAATAGTTTAGTATTTATAAATGCAATTAATGTAGGGACTTTTTCGTATATATACGAGATTTTAAACCTATTTACCCGCTTTTGTCTAAATTTTCATATTTACATAAAGTAACTAAAGTTTTCTATAAAATATATACAAATTCGGTCACAGTCTACAATTTATCTACAACTTAAATACACATTTTTTAACACATAATCTGGTTAAAAACTACAATTTACATACATTTTATATACAACTTGTATACAATTATGTAAGTTGTAGATATTTGTATATTGTTTCTACACTCGACATACAAAATATATACAATTTGTATATGTCTTCTTTTTCGAGGTTCAATATGAAATTCCAACCAAGACCGCCTCGAATCTTCACCAAATTCTCAAAAAATTGAGATATAAACTCCAAATAATATTTCAATCATTTGCAACAACATCCAATCCAAACAAATAACGATTGAATCGAACCCAATTTTCGAATTAAAAGCTTTGAAGTTTGTTAATGGTTGTCAATGGAGTTTAATTCAAATCTTTATGCTTAGTTTAATCAATGCATAAAAATCTTTATGCTCAGTTTAATCAATATATGTGCCACGCCCAATGTATGTGACAATGGTTTAATCTCTTCATTAATCAATATAATGTAAAACTTTGGATCATTTTTATCGATGGGAGAGTAATAAAGTTGTGCCAGCTATGTTCTTAGTTATTTTTTGTTACTGATTGTAGGATTTTCATGTCTTCTCTTCATTCATGACTTTTTAAGATCGAAACTTGTTGTTCTATATATTTTGGGTGATTGGTTACGTGGGGGTGGGGGGTGGGATACAGTGTATTGGTGAGAGACGTACAGTGGGGTGGGTAGAAACCTGAAGGCTTAGGATTGGTTACCAATTAAAGCCCTATAACTGAGGGATATTAACTTATCAATAAAATCTATATAATTGGTAAATTGTATATTAACTTATAATTAACTTAAAACCTAAACAATGAGGGTAAATAAGTTTCTAATGTAATACATATAGGTAAAAATCTCATTAATATATCTCCAGTATAAAATGAGTGAACTATACGTATCCAAATTCTTAAAGTAAAATGTCCAAGTTTGCCTCTCAACTTTTGATTATAACTTAAAACTATCCTCAGATTGGAATTCCGCCAGAGCTTACAAGCAAAAGGGAGACATTTCTTTTTCTAATTGAGGGTGATATCAAACTAAAGGTCTAATTGAGAGCAAAGTTACATAATTTTGGTTAGTAAATGAGAAAATTTCATCATTTTCCATTATACAGATACAGTATGTATCTTAATTTGATTAGGCATGACGTTTAAGAATGTAAAAAAGAATCAATCAATATTCATATGTTCCTCTTCAATGTTAAAAAAAATTGAAAAATAAAATCCCTCAAAGTCGCATAAATTCATTTTCGTTCTCAACTTCTGAAAATTCTCCTACTGCAGGTTTTTAGAATGAGCAAACATTATGTGAATCTTCTAGCTCACTCCTAAAAATTCCATTTTTCAAAAAAAATTTAAAAAAAAAAAAACTGTTGTCGTTTGAACGTGTTGAAATTATAGACTTGATTTTCTACCTAAACAATCTTCTGACTTGGTTTATCTCAAACTTTTAATTAGTGAAAGACTGAGCATTAACAGTCACATTAACAAGTTAGCTAAGTATGTAAACAAATGGACTTTAGCTATTAATACTTTGAAGGTGATCCAACTTAAAATACTTGAATGACGGAATAAGAGGCCTGATGGTTCAATATGATTTTATTGGATAAAGGTTGCTTCAGCTAGTATAAGCCTGAGATTACTAAAAGATCATGGCAGCAAAATGCCAACTACTTTGCAATTCGAACAACATTTAAGCTGTCTGTTACTACATTCTTTTGATCTGCTAAACCTCGAAGTGGAGGATTAATAGAACTAGAAATGAAGGCACTAAATTTGCACCATGCTGATATAACAAGACTGGACTCGCAAAAGAAAATATGCTTCTAGCCGAAGTATGAATCAACCAGCAATCGTTAAATGGAACCGTATCTTCATTGCTCTAAACCATGCCATTGCAGAACCTCATTTCTGGCTATCTGTGCAGCACAGGAAAACAATGAGCAACGCTTTGGAGTCTCTTTTTGTTTTCTTCATTCATTTACCTTAGTTTTAAACTCTGGTGAAAACTAGGATTTTACCTGAATCATGAAGTGCCCCAGCGAGATGCAGATCACTGATAAGATTTTGATCAATGTTCTACATCTTCAGGAAGGATTGCTTTTCCTCTGTAAACATACTGCATCTCTTCCTTCCACGTCTGCAGTACATCAGGCATCAGGAGACATTTCATAAATTATATTGTTGCTAGTAGTTCAAACGATGGTGCTATTTGTTACTCTGATTTCCTTTAGGAGCAACTTTTAGCATTCCAAGAAAGTTTTAACATCATGCAATTTATCATCTTAGCAGGAGAAAAGACCAAAAAGGGAGTACAAGCAAAGTTTACCTCATGTCTGAAGGAAATCCTCATATTGGGTACATTGGTCTTGTGAATATCGTTTCCTTGAGGTCCTCTCTTATAGTATTTACCGCCAAGCCAGTGTGACTGCAACATTCACGATAGGAAGCAAAATTAGCATTGGAATTAACAAAGTGCTCTCTAGAATACCCCTTTAACCATGAATAAGAACTAAAACTCCTTTTTATCACACGTTTGCGTGCTGTAAGAAATAGCATTTCAAACGCTTCCATAAACTTCTAAGCATATGTTGCTTGATTTTCAATCACCCTTAACTTCTGGGCTAGGTAAATAATATACAAGTTTCTCAGAGATGTGATATTTTCAACAGCCTCTCTGCCTTCACAAGGTAGGGGTAAAGTCTGCATACACACTACCCTCCCCGGACCCCACTTATGGGATTACACTGGGTTTGTTGTTGTTGTTCTAAGAGATGTGATATTTGACATAGTGGAAACAAAATGAAGTCTTTAATACCACTGTAGAAGTTCACAAACAAAGAAGTTCAAGACCAGAATTACCGAATTCCCACCACGAAACTCACCAAAAGAACAAAAAAGAATTAGAAGAGAAAGTAACGCCAGGGAAGGAGGCGTTAAGGAGTCATTATCAAAAGTGATACATCTCTTAGAAGGCCAGACTGATACAGCAAACATGTTCATTGCTTGCCAATTTTCATATGTTGCAAGTAAAACAGTGAGATGCATATTTCTATTAAGATGCAATATGGTAGCAATGCTTAGATCCCATAGCTCAAAGTAAAAGGTGAGGGAAGAAAACGATAAAGAAGTATACTTTTGCAAAAGAAGAATCCACTCCTAGTCTGCAATATAAGTCCAACTAAACAATTCCAATCTTAGATGCCCAAAAGATATGAATTATTACTTACCTGTTTGAACCACGGGTATAATGTTATAAATACAAATAAAATTGTGATTACTTAACCAAAGAAATGTTACTTGAGAGACAATATTTCTAAAAGAATTGCATATATATCTGGCCTAAATGCTATAAATGCTCACCTTGTCTGCATGCTTGAACCCTGACTGATAGACAGAATTCCTAGCTATCTCACAAAGGTCACAAGAACTCAGTTTCCATACCTGAAATATTAAGTTGGATAAGGACACATTATTATTCAACATATCAAAGAAAAAACCAGAATGGACTAACCTTAGCTGCAACACTGTATTCTTCCACAAGAGGCTCTTTTGTCAAGTGGATTTGCAAGGGATCATCAGTAGAGAGTGAGACATTCATGCCACGGTGGAAGAACATAAGGAATGGGTTCCGATTATAATCAAGGAAAAGCGAATTATTGCTCAAGGGAGACATCGCCAGTCCAACCTGAATAAGTTATTCAGAGATGGGGACAATAAAGTGAGTAAACAGGAAAACAGATCATAGGGAGAGAATAACACAGAATACGTAACTAAGAGTTTAAGTTCTGTGCATTAGCGGTGTATAGATTTTTACAGCATCATGTTAATTTGACCTACAAAAAACATGTATCTCTTCATAGCAAGACCGGAACTGTAACCTAGAAAATATAGTCATAACCTGCTATAGCCCATTAAATTGAATGGATGGTGTATAAATCTTTTAAACTATCAGTGTATATAACTTACCTATAAAGAAAGAATGACTTCTAAGGCATTTTCTGTAGAATAATATATAAGTGTATCTCCGCATAGCTCGACATTACAACTATAACATGATAATAAATTATATCATCAAACAGACCGAAGCACGTTACATATAGAAGAAATAAAATGTAGTTGAATCGCACATCGACCACCATCTTAGTGCATATCAAATAAGATGAAGATGGGTCCCATTTCAAAGCTTGATGCAGTAACATCTGGGGAATGTTTAGCAAAGTGAACATGCAAATTAGAAAGAACAATAAGGAGCCATTTTAAAGAAACGTTTTCTATCTTAACGTCTATTAACACTGGCACACAGTCCCACATGTGATCTACACTACTAACTCTAATATAATGCCCATACGTTTTTCTTCTCCTTTTTCTTATAACCATGGTGTCCGGGCTTGCTTGCGCGCACCTCAACAAATTCCACGGGATACCTGCCACCTCCCACTAGCAATATGTACCAAGTAAGTCTGTCCCTCAAGACTTAGGACAAATGGGAAGGAATCACCTAGTGTTTTTCTTCTCCTTTTTCTTTGTGATGTTTCTCAATGACTGTGAATTCCTCTTTTACACCATCTAGATTTTGAAACCCATTGTATTAGCTATGCTTCATAAACTTCCACAAGCATCCAGTAGGTCATTACAACCATTATACTGTATGCAAACGTAATTACAATCTTCCTTAGAGCACCATAAATGATTTAGTAATGTCATCTAATTGCAGGGAACTCAAAAAATATATCTAAACAAGGCTTACTGCATATATCAGTTAACGAGGTAAAGGTATTAAAGAGAAACACCTGTGCGAGGTAGTAAAGATAATGCAGTACAGGGGTCTTCCGCAGATTGATGCCATGAGAAATGTTATGACATAAAAGAAATCCAGCAGCTAAATGATCAATATCACCCGCCTGCATGAACTTGACAACATAAATTTGAACCGCACGTCGCTAACAAAAAGATGAGCTCAAATGAACACCAACCTCCCCACAGTGTGGTCTGAATCTGATTGTTGGCAATCCTTTTGATTCACGAAGCTAAGGACATAAGAAATAAAAAGTACATTAGATATAGTTTTGCTGAGGGAAGAAATACAGCTGTCTACACGATATTGTTGAATAGATGTCCTCTCCCTTACAAGAAGAAAAGGGCAGCAGTAGGCAAGGGGAAGCTAATGCATGAAGGCAAACATAACCACTGAAGGAGGTTGATAAACACTATAAGAGGAACTTGTGAGCATTTCCTTCAAAAGTTTTCTTTAATGTTCAGCTCTCGTTATTTCAGCTTGTGGATAAAAGAGAGAATAGACTAAGATAGCCTGGGGATGGCATAGGGGTGGAAATTGTGGCATAAGAACATATTTCATGGGTGTGGGGCAGTAAATTTCTTTTAGAGCTCACGTGGAGGGACTCTTCGGTGCATGTATGTATTGACGCAAAGAAAGCCTCAAGGCCCTTGACCACTGGTATCTTCGTTGGATAGCGGTTAATTTAGGATAGAGCTAGACCCAGACTCCTAGTCTTTGTTACTGAACAACCAACTTTAATTTCATAGAACATGATTGAAATTCTTCACCATGAAAATAAACCTTACAATTTGTCCAGCCAATAAAATTACAGAAATACCTTTTGCACTATTAATTTAATGACTTGGAACATTTGTTCTTCTTATTCAGAAGGAATGAATAAGAGAGTGAATAGTTTGCTCGCTGAAAATTTGGAAATAAAGAGAAAGAAAAATGAGAAAAGAGATGAAAAGAAAAGAGGAGAATAAAAAAGGATAATGTATGCAGGTAACGCAGGGTGACCATCTGGGTACAGAATACAAGCATTTACTAAATGTCTTAGCCAAATAGGATTCACTTTTCTTTTCGTCAATATCTTGAGTTTTCGACAAAACGAGATTTTAGCATTGATTTAAGTTTATTCAATATGATTAAGCCTGCATATGCTCCATCGTCATCCTTAGGACAGTCACTTTCTTTAGCTCCAACTTATGATTTTATTATGGTACTTCAATATAACCACCCAACGCTATATAGATAATTTTCTCTGGAACAAAATTAGACAGTTCTGGAGGACAAAATATGGATGACTACATCGCGCATTTAAGTGCCACTAATATTTGGAGTCGTGAAGCACCACTGACCTTGTTAAGTGTATACAAGTTTGCATAACAGTAATACGCATAATAAGAAAATGCTGGATTGAACTGATTTGTCCATTCATCTGGCTTTGGCATATGCTTGGTAGGACGTCTCTCTGGTTTACTTTCATCATCAACCATGTCAAAACCTACTACCTGTCACCAAAAAAATAAAACTTTAGGCTCCTTCAATTGGCTAAGAATTTCCAACTGTATGCAGGCACAGAACTTATTGAATAAATTGGTTCTTGTCGGATGGCATTCTAGCAGTAAAATGACAATAAACATGGAAAAGGATGGCTCTCATTAAAAAGAATAATCCACACATAAAAGAAGATGCAGACACTAAAATTTCAAGCAGATTCAACTTGTTGAATAAGAAAAGAACTGAAGCTTAAAGCAAATGGTATCTATAATAATAACTATTGACGAGAAGAGGATAAATTAATAGTTTAAGGATAATAATAACTATTGACAAGAGTGGGTTGCAGTAGTGGTGAGCACCCTCCACTTCCAACCAAGAGGTTGTGAGTTCGAGTCACCCCAAGAGCAAGGTGGGGAGTTCTTGGAGAGAGGGAGCCGAGGGTCTATCGGAAACAGCCTCTCTGCCTTAGGGTAGGGGTAAGGTCTGCACACAAACTATCCTCCCCAGACCCCACTAGTGGGATTATACTGGGTTGTTGTTGTTGTAAGGATGACTATGGATACTGCTTTCAGAATAGTCAGGCTTCAAAGTTTCCAGAGGACACAGTCAGAGTTGGGCAATCACTGGCACTTAAAAGCTAGCTGCATTTGGCCTCACATCTGATAGGTGCACTAGGTGAACTTAAAACCCGATTAATAAAATGATAGTATTGGTCTATCTCCAATAGGACTTGGCAAATTTTTCCATCGATAGAACTTTTGGTTATCAGAGAATATTGATCTCTTTATCTCAACACATATTGCATACAACTGCGTCCATGGAGGCAAATCTTGGTAGGCATTGCACAACCACAAGGACATTGTACGGTGCAACTGGTCTGACATCTGATAATTGTTCTCACTCCTCAGAGAAGTGAAAAAGTTGACTCCAGAGAAAAACTGTAACAACTTATTCCAAACGCCTAGCAACTTTTGCAACAATTTTAGTTACACCTGAATGCTGATTGAAAAACATTATCAGGAGAAGAAATCCAATCAGTTGCACTATTGAGTCCCACATCGGTGGGATGAGAGTTTTGTGGTCTCTTTATATGGTCTTAGGCAATCCTCACCTCATGAGCTAGCTTTTGGGGTTGAGTTAGGACCAAGGTCCACTTATCATGGTATCAGAACCAAGTCCACCCCCAATTTATTGTTACCGATGTTGGATCCCCATTTATATTATCCACGCTCCAGTTTATGGGTATGGGTGTGAGAGGGGGTGTTGAGTCCCACATCGATGGGATGAGAGTTTTGTGATCTCTTTATATGGTCTTGGGCAATCCTCACCTCATGAGCTAGCTTTTGGGGTTGAGTAAGGACCAAGGTCTACTTATCATGCACCAAAGGGGATGCAGTTATCTTCTTTCATATCCCTTGAACGAAAACTCAGCAACAAGAACTGACAGGACATGATGAAATGTGTAGCAACCACTACTACTGTACGACCTGAGAAATCAGCCAGTAATCCAAATAATACTGGTCATATATTCAGTGCTCCCAAGAATTATGAGCTGGCTAAACCCAAATGATCGACCTTTTGCCTAAAGCAGCTATGGAGGGAAAAGATAAATATATTTATCTAGTTCTTCACCATACACCTTGCTTACGAGTTATATTCGAATTAGTGGAGATCTTTCTTGGTTACAAAGAGTCAATCTAACTGAGGTGGATATATGTTTAGAGGTGTTTATATACCTTGCATGTAAAAGAAGATGGATTGCTATTTTTTTGCATCCCAAGTGATATCTGACAAACAATACTAAGCAATATGATTATATCTGTTTTACTTCAAATTTGGAGAATGTTTTAGCACTGAATGAAAGAATGTGAAATATTTAGCATTGCAGAAAAGAATGTGAAAATCGAAATCAATAATTAAAGAGAAGACCACCTGCTGAACACTGGATTGATTTTACAGTGCTTATCGCACAGACTCCAGACAGCAATTACGAGCTTAGTTCCATTTAAGGGTAGAGGACAATAAAGCCAATTAATAGTAGAAGTTTCTATAAAGAATTAGCTAGATAGGAACAACACTTTGTAATTTAAATTTGAATTGCTCGATCAATCAATAGTGTTTGAAATTTTCCTATTTATAGGACTGTCAAACATTGTGGACCCTGCAAGAGAAATTGTCACGTGAAAGTCAGGAGTAATTTTCAGACCATACCTCAAGGATCTGATAGTAATTATTCTAATCGATGGATCATGGATGACGTCATGGCTATCTTAAACTAAGCACTTCACCAAAGCAATTTAGCTGTTATGCAAGTAATTGCAACAAGATACGTTTGGGCATATGAGATGCAAGTTTGACTTATCCCAAGAAATAGAAATCACAGAAAAACACATAATTCATCTAGGAAAACCAAAAAGCTACATATATGCAATTCCATAGCTGCACTAGTTAAACATTCTTGTTCCCAAGATTTCTTGCATGTCCATATCAGATGATTGTCTTGGACAAACTTCATGTAAGACAATTTGTAGCAGATCAGACCAAAAATTAAAGATAAAACTAAGAAATGAGGGGCAACCAATAGTCTGTTCTTTGGTCGCAGAAAGTTGAAATGGACGAAGCTTTTAAAAGAGAAATCAGAAAATGAAATATAGCTTTGGTGTAAATGGTAAACCACATAACTATAAAAGGTCAAAAAGCAAACTTAACCTGCATTAAGAACAGATGCAAATGAGGATGAGACTTTGGATCAACTGTGACTTCAAATAGTGGAATGAACACATTATCTAGAATGTTCTGGAAGGACGTGCAAGTTCCCATACTCCTGTACACATTGTATAACCGTGGGAGCTGCAAAGAGTAAAGTGAGAAACGCATCATAAATCCATAAGCAAATATGCTGACATAATCACCGAAAGGATCAAAATTGCCTATAAGAATCAATTTTGTGATTAAATATACCCTTTATGCAGAACCCAGAAACTGCTGTACTAAGACATAAACTTGAAGCACAAGGGCTATGTCCGGTGCCTTTAATCACAGAGTGGAGTGTATTGGGCAAGATACTTCAAGGATTGGATTTAGGGTTTATTAGTAGTTTCCAAGTACATAGGAGTCATCCAAACTAATGCATGAGAATCAACAAATCAGAAAATATTCTTCAACAGTGCACTTTCCAAATATAAGAGAGTTCCAAAAGCAAGAAGATGAAATTATCTACCAATACCACCTTCCTTGGTCCTACTCCGTCCCTGGAACAGATAGTTTCATGTGTACCATGATTACTCAGAGTGGATCGAAAATCCTATCTTCACTTATCCATAGATAACTGATCACATGGCATTAGCAAGATCATTTAGCTTAAAAGGCCACATATTCCCAGTTACCACTGCATATAAATTTACTGACCAAAAGAAAACCCAGTATAGCATTCACAAGACCCAAGGGCAGAAGATAGAGCAGCAGCCCCATCATTTCTCCTCCAAACATCTGCTTACCTATAGGTGACCGGTTCGAGGCGTGGAAACAGAAACTAATGCTTGCATCAGGTAGGCTCTCTACATCACACACCTTGGGTGCGGTCCTTCCCCGACCTAACGTGAATGCGGGATTCTTTGTGCACCGGGCTGCCCTCTCCCTCTTCCTTCCCCTCACCCACATTCCCATGTGAGGAAAGGAAATTTTGTCTTGTTCAGCAATTTAAGTTTAATTTGGCACTCAAAATACCTAAATATTCTACCATCATATTAAAACCAATCAAACCGACACCAAACACTAAGCAAACCCTACTCTGAATCAGACATCACCATTACAATGCTACTATCGTCAACCATTGGGTCCTCCCTGAAGCACTTTTTAACTCAAAAAAGTACCAATTTCCCTAGAAAAACCTCTGCTACATGCTTCACCCGCCTAACACATTTCAGTAGCAAAACCTGAGAACAGAAATGTGTAGCAAATAGGAGAAGTCTTCAAAGTAAGGGATGGGTCTGGCAGTGATACAGAGGGCAAAGTGTTCACAAGGCACAGAAGAAAAGCAATGGTGAAGGGAGGATCAACAACAACAACAAAAAACACAGTGTATTCCCACAAGCGGGGTCTGGGGAGGGTAGTGTGTACGCAGACCTTACCCCTATCTTCAAAAGGTAGAGAGGTTGTTTCCGGTAGACCCTCGGCTAAGGAAAAATAAAAGGGAAGGGGGCAATGGCAAGCAAACCAATCAGAAAACCAAGTGAAAACACAAAACTATCACTAGGTAGTGCAATTAGAAAACCAAAGCGAAGGCAACAACAAGTAATAACAGAAGTCTAGAAAGGCAAAAATACACGCAAGGCACTAAGTGGTATACTATAGATGCTGTAACAAAATAAAGACAAGGCTCGACAACCTAACCCTCAACCTCCACACCTTCCTATCCATGGTCATGTCCTTAGTAAGTTGAAGCAACGCCATATCTTGCCTAATCACTTGTCCCCAATACTTTTTTGGCATGCCCCTACCTCTCCGTTGGCCCTCCAAGGCCAACCTCTCACACCTCCTCACTAGTGCATCTGTGCCTCTCCTCTTCACATGCCCGAACCATCTTAGTCTCACCTCCCGCATCTTGTCCTCCACCGAGGCCATGCCCACCTTATCCCGGATAACTTCATTCCTAATTCTGTCTAACCTGGCATGCCCGCACACCCATCTCAATATCCTCATCTCAGTCACCTTCATCTTTTGGACATGGGAGTTCTTGACTGACCAGCACTTCGCCCCATACAACATAGTCGGTCTGACCAATAAGTATACTTGCATATACATATTTATGCAAGTATTCCTAGCTAAGGGTTTTAAACTTTTGAGTATTTTATGTGTATAACTCATGTAATTTATCATATTTGTGCAGGTGATGAAGGTGGTAAGACAGTAGCCCAAAAGAAAAGCAAGTTATCATAGTAGCAATAGGGTGTTATCATGCTAGTAATATATTGTTCAGGCATCATCTTTTTTGTGTGGCAGCAGTAGGCGTTAGCAAATCGTGAAATAAGCCAGAAACTAAAGAAAATCATCAATACAATACACGGCGATCATGGCAAACATGCACCACGATCAGGATAGAGAGAAGTGAGAACACAAGCCCTATCACAGTACTCAGTCAGCTTGGTAATGAAAGTGGATAAAAAGGGCCAATAGTGGAGAGTGATGGATCATGAAAGAAAAGCTTCTGAAGTCAAAAAGAATTCTCTTGATAGGTAGAAGCTTCTGAAGTCAAACTGCAATTGGTAATGCAGAGCAAGTCAAGAAATGTTGGAACTTAGGGTTAAAAACACCATATTGCATCATGTGAATTCTGACCTAACTTCAAAGATGCAGAACTCTTAATCAACAACAACAACAAACCCAGTGTAACCCCATAAGTGAGGTTTGGGAGGGTAGAGTATACGCAGACCTTACCCCTACCTTGTGAGGGTAGAGATGTTATTTCCAATAGATCCTCGGCTTAAGGAAAGACAACAAAGGAGCAATAGCAATAACAACAAACAGTAAACAACAACACGATAATAGAATAACTGAAGCGAAAGAAAAAAAAATAGGAATAAGAGTGAAACAGAAAGAAAACTAAGCATAACAAAATACAAGAGCAATATCAATACTACTGGTCTGTGAAAGAAATACATTCCACTACCTACTATTCTTCACTCTAATCCTCGACCTCCACACTCTCCTATTCAGGATCATGTACTCGGTAAGCTGAAGTTGCGTCATGTCCTGCCTAATCACCTCCCTTCAATACCTCTTTGGTCTACCTCTATCTCTCCTCATACCCTCCAAGCTAACCTCTCACATCTCCTCATTGGGGCAGTTGTGTCCCTCCTCCTCACATGTCTGAACCATCCTAATCTCCCTTCCCGCATCTTGTTCTCCACGGGGGCCACCCTTACCTTATCCCTAATAACTTCATTCCTGACCTTATCTCTATAGAGTGGTGGTGAGACCGACTATGTTGTATGGGGTGGAGTGTTGGGCAGTCAAGACTTTAATAATATTGTCTTTATAAACTTTTAACATATTCAAATACATTTAACTATTCAATTTTAAATGGGAAAAAGCATAAGAACCTCCTGAACTAAGGCCAAATTACCAATTACACACTTTATCTTTGGGAATTCATATTACCCCCTTCCAACTTTTTTTAAACATAATAAGTACCTCCCTAAAAAGCCATACTCAGATATATAGTGAAATATACGCGCCTGCCATATGGATATTTTATTTTTTTCTTATTCTTTTCCATTTTCTTTCCTTTCCTTTTTCTTTTATTCTTCATTTCTTTTCTTCCAGCCGTTTGTCACAAAGTCGCCCACGACCAAACTTATCTTTTTGTTTTTTCTTTTCTTTTCTTTATATTCTATTCCTCTTTCTTTCGTCCTTTTTCTTTTCTCCAAAACCAACCACACCTTTTGCATCTGATCAAAATCAACACTACCAGGTTCAGATGTTAGGTGTTTTAGTGAATTTTTGTGATGGATTGGCTATGGTGGAATGTGAAGGAAGTGATGGAAGAGTGGACAGGAGATGGTTTTATAGAAGTTCTGGATGGTATTTCTTGGCGGTGTTGTTACGAGTTCTTCTTGTGATTGATGGGGAGGGGCTGGTGGCAGACGGGTGGAGTTGTAGTGGCTGCTAATCAATAAAAAAAATGGTGGAAAGGAGGTGGCAGGCGCAGGAGCAGTAGTGGCTTTGTGCTCACTCGAGACTTGAAGGTGGAGGGGAGTTATTGATGGTTTCTCTTGTGGTTGCCGGCGAATTTTTGCTGGCAGGGAATTTGATACTTTTTTCAACAAAACAAAAAGGAAAGAAACAAAATGAAAATTTGACTCTATTTCAAGGACAAAAATTTAAATATAACAGTTAATTTATAATTTTAATTAAGTAGATGTACTTAAATTATAAAGTGCCCAATTAAAAATGACACATGTAATCAAAATTTAACTTCTTTTGGTATCACATGACTCCAAGAGAGTGAGCACACTTTCCATGTCACCTCAGCACTTAAGGGTATTTTTGTTCCGTTTAAAAAAAGTGTGCTCCTCTCTAACAGCTAAAGCTTTTAGATGAGATAGTCACACACTTCAACATGGTATCAGAACAGGCAGAGGTCCTGAGTTTGACTCTCACCGCCACCCAATATCAAAAAAATTATCGAGTGCTTGGCTCATCAAAAAGAATCAAAGCCCGCACGTGAGGGGGGTTGTTGAAGACATAATTAAATAAAAAAAAGTGTGCTCTCTTTAACAGCTTAAGCTTTTAGATGAGATGGTCACACACTTCAACAGTGTACAACTGGTAATCCGCCCTTAGAAGGTTCTGAAGTCAAAAAAAATCTATTGATAGGTAGAAGCTTCTGAAGTCAAATTGCAACTGGTAATGTAGAGCAAGTCAAGAAAAGTTGGAATTTTGGGTTAAAACACCATACTGCTTCAAGTGAATTCTGACCTAACGTCAAAGATGCAGAACTATTAATCAACGGTGAATATTGTCATTAACGATAGTGTCCCTATACAACTTTTAACAAATTCAAATACATTTAACTATTCAGTTTTAAATTTTGATCTAATGTTTTCACTACAAAATAACTATTCACCCATTACTTTAATATTTTCTTCCACTACTGCTAATAGAATAAACAAGTCAACTTAACATCATAAACTCCGCGCTTAGTCAAATACTATAATAGAAAATGAAAAGGGGGAATACTTTTCAAGAACAATGCATGATCAGCATTATACCCACCTGAATCAACCATACAGCATTTTGGCTATAAAGTTCATTGTTTACAAACCAGCTAGCCAATGTATCCCATTCACTTTGTTTTCTTCCATAGACGGAGATTCTGTATTCAGCCAACTGGAAAAGGAAAAAAAAAAAAGGATTATGTCAAACATTATTAAGGTGAATTTTCACCATATTGATCTATGAAAATAGTACTCAGCAAAAAAGCAATACATTAACAATCAGATAGCCTAGAATAGACAACCTGGGAGACAAATGCTAACAATAAGATAGCCTAGAATAGACAACCTAGAACAGAAATGCTAATGTGATAACTACATGTTGTCTTAATGTCTTATTAACATATGTCCTATTGGAAGCAGTTTTCACTCTTGAGGGGGGTATTAACAGCCGAAGACAACTCTCATAAGTGCAAGAACTACTGTCACAGACAACAAGTAATGTTAAGAGTTAAGATGTAAACAAGCACCCAAGTATGTTCCCAGTGGTCAATGAAATTGGAATAGACCGTGAGAGACCGAGATTCGAATCCCAAAAGATGAAAAAGAGAAAGGAAAAAAAAGAAAGAAAGAAAGAGCTAGGTGACTTCTTCCCATCTTTCTAACCCTATACCTATGTTGGTACAAGGTAGATGGTACCTTGAGAACCCCTTTATCAGGAAAAATCTTAAGATATAAGCAAAACCCAAATATATTTCTGATCACAAAAAACCAAAGAATAATTCCAACTAGCAACAATCTCCAGGAACATTTCCGGAGAAACAAGAACTTGCACATCAACAGATTGACAATTATTCTGGTGCTTCTCAAGAGTATAGCGACAAAGTTAAAGACTTTGATAACAGAACCAATATCTCATGAAAGGGTTATCATGACAAAGAGATACAGATTGAGCAAATATTCGGTCAGCAAAAGTCATATATTGGCAAACGACAGCTGAATCATAAGCCATTCCAGAGAAAGAAACCATTTGTTTCAAATTCTCCCTGTACCTGGTATTTGCTTGCTTCAAGATCTTGCAAAACTTCCTTCGTGACTTCAGCCAAGAAGCGCCCTGAATAGGACAATATTTTGAAAATGAAGAACATATATTATAGCTACCAAAATCACATCGAAGAAGCATATGCAACAGCAACAGATTTAAAAGTGACAATTTGTCAGCAAGTGACAGCCTCGACATTGGTCAAAATGTTCCACAGATATATAAGAAGGTGGTACTCCACAAGGACAAAAAGTTTGACAAGGTGCAATATACATCATCCTCAAACCAAGTATTACTTCCACTTCAAGCAAAGCTAACAAGAAATGAACTGGTTCTCCTCAGTCAGTCTATTATCTCTACGGTTTTGAACCTATTATGTTGGTCCTTACACAGTACACAACAATTTTATGTATCTTGTGATATTCAGAGTATAAAATATGCTCATATACAGAAAGAAGCAGATATTACATATGCATGCTTTTGTGCAGTTATAAAGTATATTCTCATATCCAGCTACTTCTGTTTTTCCTTTTTGGTGAATATGCAAAACAACTATTATAAGGTGCCAACAATAAAACGTGGAGTTTAACAGTGTGGTAACAGTTGTCTTGATGGAGGTTCTAAATAAAATTACCTGCTGCAGGGGTTTTTAACTGAACCAAAATAAAGTTAACCACTGCAAAATGTGTTCAATTGACAGCAAAGAAAATTTGAACTTACGCTTTAATGACAGTTATTTTACTAGATTTTTCAGATAAAATTACCCAAACTGCAGTGTTTTCATCTGATATTACAGCAAAAATTTAACTTACTTTACTATTAAAATTTACATATTCAGGGAACACACCTTGGATAAGGTTGTCTTGCTTTAGAAAGATTTCTCTGAGTCTGCTTTGTCCACAAGGATTATATTTAAGATTGAATTTGTCAAACCGGTGAAATGTACTCTTATCAGCATGTACATCCAGAAGATCAACATTAAGATCATACCTGCAAATAAAGTGCTCAGAAGAGAAAGAACAAATGCCAGACCTCCCACCCCAGGCACAGTCAGCAAAATATAGAACTTATGCAGAATAAAGAAAGAGAGCAGAGAAAAGGTTGATGCAAACCCTGTCAAGTCTAAACTTTCAAAAACTTCCTTCAGCGTAAGATACTGTCCATCCCGGAATATGACTACCTGTTTTGCAAAGACTCCTGGTATTAAATCCAAAAGAATAGGCATGCCAATATGCCTTTAGAAATCTGCAAGATCATCCCCTGGAAGCGATAAATGTCCTACCTCGTCAGGTTCTTTTCTCAGTTTTGACTTGATGAACCGCAGAAGATGCTTCTGATTCATGCAAGCAGAATGATGCACATGGGTATCAACCTTTCTGATGTTGTAGAAATCACGATGAGGTGCACTTTTTTGAGCTAGAAATTCCCGATCAGCATTTACTAACAAATGGAGGCGAAATTTCTGTATATTAATCAGAATATGCTGTGAGAAACCAAGACATGTGGTACAAAAGGGAGAAATTAAAGAGAAATGCCAAAAACCATTACCTCCTCGAGAAATCGCAAACGATGGTGACAGTAAGAACGAACATTTCCTACAGCCATTACTTTGAGGAGTTGGTGCATATCAGTGAAAAATGTTGTTGAGCTAGCAACAGGGAAGAGCTCTTCAGTATCTAGAACATGCATGGTAGAATGTGAAGATCCTCAAGAGGAAAGCAGAGGAAAAATAAAGATAAAACAATGTCACATCACATTGTTACATTCCATAAATGTGCTGCCACTTTCTTAACCAAACTCACCATTTTCAGTGGCATAAACACGTACAACTCCGTCTTCCATCTTAAAATGGTGCTGTGTGCAATCCAAGAAGTATCATTATTAGAAATTGTGCTTGAGATAACATCCAGAGTTTGAGATACTGAGAATATGGGAGCCTAAAAATCAGACCCTCTACGATCATAAATGAGTTGAGGATCACAACTCACAGAAGTTGCTTCAAATTGGGCAAAGCTAAATGGATCATGTTTCTTATCTGACACTTTTGAGTCGCTCATATTCTCTTTCATCCATGGAGCAATTTCTTCCCTGAAAACATACTTGTCTCTCAAATCTAAACATTCACGAATCATCTTCAGTACTTCTTCCTCTTCAACATTCATAGGATCTGCAGGAAAAATGATAGCAATTGAAAGAACAATTGAGTATGAACAAGATCACCAGAACATAAAGCCGCTCTCTTAAGTTTGAGAGAGCTCACTAACACCAGTAAAGACCAAGACAATGAGAATACCATGTGCTGCAGTCGGCAGGGGCAAAATGCTGTTGAAGAAACTGGAATCATTCTCAACAATGTGCATAGAGGCTCTGTCTGCCTCTCCAACTTCATGATCTATGTTCGATCTTGCCTCAGGTGCAACTGCTATATGCTGAAGATGAATACGACTTTCAGCCTTTAAGGCAGAGATAGAAAATTCTTCCTCTGTTGGACTGATATCCTACAAAGAAATGGGAGCAGAAGAAGTAACTTCATGAGCAAATTCAGTTTAAAGTATATCTAGTTGTACTAATCTCGAAACCATAGTGGCTGGTGGGAGGATAGCAACCAATTTGGCTGAATTATCTTAAGTCATTAAACCTCGTCAAACGAGAGTGTAATGAACAGATAAAGTCCAACATAGCTTCCGGCTCTAACAATATTGCCAAAGCCATGTTGCACCAAAAACTAAGCAAGAATATACAATTGTGTCTAAGCTTAAGTACAGTGTCATTCTTTTTCTCTTCTTTTTTTTGATAGCTGTGGTGTCGGGGCCGGGGCCAGCTTACGCGTACATCGACTAATTTCATGAGATATCTGCTACCTCCCACCAGCAATAAGTACCAGGTAACTCTATCATCAAGGCTTGGATAAATGGGAAGAAATCACCTAGTTTTTCTTGTCTTTGCTGGGAACTAAAGCTGAGACCTCATTGTTCTAACCCACTTCATTGACCACTCATCTTGTCTTCAAAATTCCTAGCATTTCTTTCTTCCCAAATTGTTTTTTGAAGTCACAAAATCACCACATTTCTTAAAATGTCAGTTATCCATATGTAATCGCCAAAAAAGCAGCAGGGTGTAAGGAAGAGAATGTTAGATGAGATAATAATTCTAGATGCATACATACATAAAAAAGGCAGAAGTATGTCAGAATTCACATTTGAGTATGCAGTTTGAAAATTTACATTGTCATAGGAGAAAACAGCATCCTCGGCAGCAGCAGACTCGCCTTTGTCCTCATTAGAGTTGTCAACACTTTCAAATGCACAATCACTTGAAAATTTTGGAGTCATTGGCTTCACAACTGATTCCACGCGCACAAATCTTTCATCACCTGAAATACGACAAAATCGGAATATACAATGAATATTTCACCGAATTCCCATCACATTTAGAAAAACTAAAAAGCCTACTAAAGCACGTTATAAAGTATGAGAGAGAGAGAGAGGTGCTTCTACCTCCTAGCTTAAAGAAGCTGCCTATTACATCATCCAGGCAACACAGCAATCTTCTGAAATTAGATTGTGTCACATGCTCTTAAGATAACGCTTATCTTAGGGGAAAAAGAAAAGAAAGAAAAAGGAGGAGCATGTGACCTTTATATAACAGTCTACATCTTTGCATGTACTCAATGGGCAGGAACCCACCCCAGTATTACACGATAGATGACTCAAATATGCAATTAGGCATCATCTAAGAGAAGCATTCTACTTCTACGGTCATTAGACAATGTACTAACACTATTTTTTTAAACCAATGTAGCAAGGTAAATTGCCAGCATAAAGGGACCAATTATAAAGGGATCATCTAATCTATACAGAACATAAGCTAAAGGAGGACAGTAGGGAGCTGGAGAAGCCATTTGAGGAGGAAGAAATTCTGGAAACTATCAGGTATTGTGCTCCTGATAAGGCACCTGGACTTTATGGTTACACCATGGCATTCTATCAGAAGGCCTGGAAGATCATCAAGGCTGATGTAATTAATTCCATGAATCATTTTCATCAGAATTGCCATATGGTTAGGTCCAGCAATGCCTCATTCATTGCTCTTATCCCTAAAAAGAAATGAGCCATTGAACTTAAGGATTTTAGACCAATAAGCCTCATTGGTAGTGTCTACAAAATCACTACAAAGCTACTGGCAGAGAGGATCAAAAAAGTGATTGGGAAGCTCATCTCCGGGCACCAAAATGCATTCATAAAAGGGAGGCAAATCACAGATGCTTCTTTAATTGCAAATGAAGTACTAGATTGGAGGTTGAAGAGCGGTGAATCCGGTATTCTCTGCAAGCTGGATATAGAAAAGGCATTTGACAACTCAATTGGCAATATCTCATCACAATGCTAAGGAAAATGGGATTTGGACAAAGGTGGATTAGGTGGATGTAGTTCTGTATCAAAACTGTCAAGTACTCAATTTTGATAAACTCAAGCCCAGGCAAGGGGATCCTCTCTCCCTTTTTCTATTCATTTTCGCCATGGAAGGTCTGAGCTAGATGCTGGACAAAGCAAAAAACCTTCAATGGATAAGAGGGTTTGATGTAGGGAAAGCTCCAGGAATGTCATCACTGTTTCTCATTTGCTTTATGCAGATGATACCCTTATATTCTGTGGAGCAGAGGAATCACAGGTGCTACACCTGAATCTAACACTACTTATGTTTCAGGTACTGTCAGGACTTCACATTAATATGCTGAAAAGCATAATTTATCCTGTCAACACAGTGGACAATTTGGAGAATCTAGCGGGAATTCTTTGTTGTAGCACAGGATCCTTCCCAGCCGCTTACCTGGGTCTTCCATTGGGTGCAAAGTTCAAATCCTCTGAAGTGTGGAATGGTATCATTGAAAAGGTTGAGAAGAAGCTGACAGCTTGGCAAGTACAGTATTTATCCATGGGAGGCAGGCTGACACCCATCAATAGTGTTTTGGACAGTATTCCAACCTACACTATGTCTCTATTCAGTATCCCTAAGAAATCACTGCAACATTTGGATAAGTTAAGGAGGAACTTCCTTTGGAAAGGTAACAGTGAAGATCACAAGTTTCATCTGGTTAAGTGGACCAAGGTTACACAGCCTAAGACTATAGGTGGTCTAGGCATCAGAAACTTAGTTGTTCATAATAAATGTATGATGTTGAAATGGTTTTGGAGATATAGCCAAGAAGGGCCAGCATTATGGAAGGAAGTAGTGACTGCAAAGCATGGATCACTCAATCACTAGTGTACCAGAACCTCAAGAGCACCACATGGTGTTGGTCCTTGGAAGAACATCAGCAAATTATGGGAAGAGTTCTCCAGAAACTGCAGCTTCAGATTTGGGAAGGGACAACACATCAGATTCTGGAAGGATAAATGACTTAGTGCCACATCATTGCAGGAGGAATATCCCAACCTATTCCTTATATCCACCAACCAGGATTCCCTTATCTCCCAACTACAGAGAAGGAAACTCTTGGAACCCAATCTTCAGAAGAAACATGCAAGACTGGAAAATTGAAGAGTTACTCAACTTGATGGCTAGATTGGGAAGCATCACCTCTAATGACCAAGCAGCAGACACTTTGAGATGGGAGGTAGAACCAGATGGCCAATACTCAGTCAAATTAGGGTACTTATTCTATTGTGCTCAGAATGAAATGGTGGACAACTGGCCTTGGAAGTTCTATGGAGAACAAAAACACCCCCAAAGGTGATTTGTTTCAGTTGGATTGCACTTTATGAAGCATGTTTGACACAAGACAACTTAACTAGAAGATCTTTCCACTTGGCAAACAGATGCCACATGTGCATGCAAAATGAAGAAACAACCAGGCATCTTCTACTTCACTGCCCAGTTTCAGCAGATCTATGGAACATGTTTTTGTCTCTTTTTGGAATGAACTGGGTAATGCCTGGGAGTATAAAGGAAGCCTTTTTGAACTGGAACGGCTGGAAAGTTGGTACAACCATCAAGAAAATCTGGAAACTAATCCTTTTTTGTATTTTTTGGTGTATTTGGAATGAGAGGAATAGGAGATGTTTTGATGGAATAGCAACTCCAAACCACTTCCTTAAGACTAAATGTCTTTTACTTTTGTACAGTTGGAGTACTCAAACACCTGTAAACTCCCCTGACAACTTTTTGGACTTTGTTAGCTCTTTAACATTAGTATAGGACTCTTTGTACTGGAGCTAACAAATCTTTGGTATCTATATTTCTGCATCTTCTTGATGCCATTTATAATATCTTTTACTTTATCAAAAAAAAATAAGCTAAAGGCATCATAACCTTATGGCAAAAAGTTGTACCAAGGTAACAGCCCTAGAAGTACCAGGGTTATGTGCCCGGCCCTGCAAAAGGAGCCACTGCAGCTTTATGCTAGTACTTCAGATATGCATCAACATAAATAAATCTCACTACAAGTAAAAAAAAATCCAAAATAGGCTGATTTTATTTTCGTTTCTCTGTGCTAGGGGAAAAAATACCAAATCAAGTGCAAATTATAAAATTCCATTCACTATATCAATCTAGTAATATATCTATTTCATATGGATTTTGTCCTTCGCTTTCCAAAAAGCTGCAACAAAATAGCGTTATATATCTGCAACAGATAGTGAAGGGGTCAGTTATTCTTAAATCTGGCAGATATATTATATCATAGTAGCCAACTTTCTTCATCAGAGAAATGTTAAACTAGTTTTAGAAAATGCCATGTTAGATAGAAAATGAGGTAATCAACAACTTATGCCAAATATGCTAATTACCCCTGACTTGATGGTCTAATAGAGGTTAAGCTTGGCTGTCATGCAGAGCTGTTAAAACTTGTTTCATTTTCAATAAAAGGTTACTTTTATCAATTTTTTAGAAAGACTGCAATGGGGAAAGAAACAGTGATCCCTCTACCAAATGAGAAGAACACATTAAACCAATCGCCTTCCTATTGGTTTCGGAATGTATCTGTCACCTTATAGCTTATACCACGTGAAGAAAGAAGAATTAATCTACTAAAAGAACATTGTACATATATCTATCCTTTTCAGCAGGCCATCCCATATCCTTCAGTAAAGTGTCGACATGACATAAATATAGCGTTGCTATTTGCCAGACAATGAGTGGGAGAATGTTGTTAACATGAATAAGATTGCTGACTACTGTTGAGTTGTGTTGGTTGAGTTATGAATCCATCACATGATCTCAGCTTAAGTATAGTGAACGTGTAATTAGAAGCAATCTGCCGGAGAAAATTTCTTTTTCTATTACAGGAGAGAAACATCTTACATTTACACAAGAAGGAGCATGTGGCTATTGACTTCCTAACTATGATAGTCAGCCAATTAAGGCTCAAGTCTAGCAGGCGCATCGTTTCCATCAAATCAAAAGCAGAGCTTCGTATTCTATGAAACTTTTCAGGAAAAAACAAGGAGCCACAGCCAAAAAAAAAAAGATACACCCACTATGAAGATGCCTTTCCTGACCTTAAATTTTCAAAATATTTCCCATCACTCACATGGCTCTTCACTGAAATATTCAAGGATCAAATTCCAAAAAGCTCGTTTTTTTCTTTCTTTTTTTACAATGCTAATATTCAGTCAACCACAGTTTTTATTTTATTTCTTTTTCTCAAAACAAACTCAAAGCACACATTAGAACCGCAAAATTCAGAAAGAGCTGGCTATCTTGTTTTTGAAATCACAAAATCACCATATTTCAAAAGCTAATATATTGACTATGATTGCACCTCAATCATCCAAGCAAGCAAGTGCAACACAATAACAACTAAGCCTCAATGCCAAGCCAGCTGGGGCCAAGCATTATAGATGTTGTCATTATCTCAATCCATTCATCCCAATATATTCTCAGAAAATTATGTATTGTGAGGATCCATCATAAACTAACTAGTATTGTGCTAGCTGTCAACCTACTGCCTCCTCATTTATCCAGACTTAGGAATTGCAACGCGAGCAAGCTCACACAGGCTTAAGTATCTAAGGGAAAAAAGTAAACAATTAAAAAAAGTCATTTCAATATTTGACTCTAGTCCAGAGCACGTACCACTCGAAAGAATCAAACTGGGATTCTCCACCGAATTGGAGGATGGCTTCTTATCAGCACACTGGACTGTCCTATCGAAACTCGATTCCTCATCCATCCACTGATTTGATACACGCACATTAGGCATCGACGACGATACTCTGTAACTTCGCAACACATTATCATCATAACAATCATCATCATCATCAGCGTTATCAATCGGCTCCTTCGATAAGTTAGAGCTGTAAACATTCCTAGTGCTAACGTTATCAATCTCATCATCTTCATAAATACCAAAATCTTCGGTTTCGGAATCGGAAGCAGAGAAAGTGTGGTGACGTTTTCGCCGGAGCTTGACGAGCCGTTCGAGAACCTCGTCGACGCTGCGCTTGTGGAGGTAGAAGGCGGATATAGCCATAACTGAAGCGCCGAAGAGTGCTGCTAATGCTAGTTGCATTTGAGAAGCTGAAGTGGATAGCCATGGCTCCATTTTCGCTGTTCTGCTGCAAGTAAAGAGAATGTGGGTGTGGGAGTGATTAGCGTTTTGGGTTTTATAGGGTTTCAGTTCCTGCAGATGGCCCAGCCGGTGATACCTGAGTTTAACCCTGGCTTTATTGTGTAGTGTCCTGATATTGGCTACCTGACTTGTGTAACACCGATTGGCCGCATAACAACAAATAATTTCACGGCAATATTCTGCATAATTTATGCAATACACCCTCTTGATTTATAATGTAAAACTATGTATTAGTAGTTTACTCTCTACATACTAATATCGCATATGGTATAAATTCTATGTCGTAAATTTCCACGTATAAGATGAAATATGAGAGAAAAAATATATTTATTTGTAATGCTTGAATAGAAGTATCTAAATATAGAATCATAGAATAGCTTTTAAAATAGATAATCATGCATAATAAACTTCATATTATTGTTCACCACGTAATAATTTTTATATTAGTAGTCATTACTTAATAGTGGATATGTTATTATTTACCGGATTATAATACTTATATTATAATTCTTACATATTTGTCTTCATAGCCTCTTAAAATATCTCGTTGCGTTAACTTAAATGAAAAAGGAAAGGGAAAAAAACATAAAAAACAAAGGTTATTAGAAAGTTTTATGGCCTTAAACACCATAAAACTATTTTTTGTTTCTTCATGTGCAAAAAATTGATGTTTGCCTTCATCTCATTTAGCTAAAGACTAGTATGGACAACCCATGTTGCGCATGGGCCAATAACATTGCTAAACAGTAGAGTATAGTTATAAAAAAAGAAAGAGAAATTTTCACAGACCACTACGGTTGTATTCAGACGCATACCGAATACAGTTTCTTCATTTGTGCAACGAATACAAACCAAAACAAAATAAAAAATATAGAAAAATAGAATACTCTAGTTGAGAGTCGAACTCAAGGCATCCCACTTACTAAGCAGGTGGTCTAACCAAGTAAGTTCAGTTCATAGCAATTGATCTCTTGTGTTCAATACTACAAATGGATTTGCTATAAAATTTAAATATAACTACGGATGATAATCTTTAAAAGTATAATTTTAAATGATAAATATAATGTATATATTTATTGTATCGCGTAATTTTTTTTAATTAAAAAAATATATATTTGTTGGTACCAACTATTACCTAAAAATAAATTTAAGAAAGAATTTCTTTCATGATCATATTAGCTAAATAGCATGAGTGATTTCTACCTAACTTATATTGTCTGGAAATATAGATTTTAACATCATAACAAACATCAATTTTTATATATTATTTCAAATAAAAAAATATGATAGTTCAAACAAAAAAAATATTTTAGATTGCGTGCAACAACCCAAGAATTATTATGAAATTGTCCCCTTTATTTTATCATTTTGTTTTGCGTCATTTATAAATTGGCTGAGAATTTTTTCTTTTTGTCACGACCCGAAATTCTCACCTTCGGACCGTGATGGCGCCTAACATTTCACTTGCTAGGCAAGCCAACTTTAGAATAATATTATCTATTTTTAAAATAATTATTAAATTTATTAATAACAAAGAACAAATGCGAAAGTAAAGTCTGAAATGTAGTGAATAATCCATAAAAAATAACGGTGCATAAATACCATCCCAGAATTGGTGTCGCAAGTGTACGAGCTTCTAGAATAATACAAATAAGGGCCTGAATAAAATAAAACTGTCCGAAAATAAACACACAGCTAAAGTAAAGTAGACGGGGACTTCAGAACTGCGAACGCCGTGCAGCTATACCTCAAGTCTCCTCTGAGTAGCTGAAATCCGAACAAGTCTATGGTACGCCGCTGGGACCAACCCCGATATCTGCACAAGAAGTGTAGAGTGCAGTATCAGTACAACCGACCCCATGTGCTGGTAAGTGCTGAGCCTAACCTCGACGAAGTAGTGACGAGGCTAAGGCGGGTCACTTACATTAACTTGTACGCAATATTAGTAACAACAACAAATAATAGAAATAAATCAGGTAACTCATTTATAATAATTGAATCCAACTCAGCAATCATAACCAATTACCATTTTCATCAATTTCCGTTGCAGCATGCAACCCGCTCTCACAATATATTCATATTCAATCCTGTTGCGGCGTGCAACCCGCTCCTCCAATATATTCATTTTAATCAAGTTTGTTGCGGCATGCAACCCGATCCTCCAATATATATATATATATATATATATATATATATATATATATATATACACACACACACATCGACTTTTAAATAAGCCTATTGCGGCGTGCAACCCGATCCTCCAATATGAACTTTTAATAAGTCTGTTGCGGCGTACAGCCCGATACTCCAACATATTCATTTCAATCAATTCTGTTGCGGCGTACAACCCGCTCCTCCAATATATTCATTTACCAATTCTTATAGAAGAAATTTTCCCAATAAATACAACAATTAATATAAAATTATAAGACAACAAGCATACAGTAATTATGATTTAATTATGAAATAAACAATGACAACTAGCAAGTTAATATGAAAATCAGGGAGAAAATAGGCAGTTTAATATTTAATATGCTAAATGTCAAATAACAATTAAGACACATAATTCAAATAGCATGTAACAATTAATGCAGGAATTCAAAAATTAATATTTGACAAAGAATAGGAGATAAACAATTATTATAATGATTAATTCATGATTAACGATTTATGATTTTTCAAGTAATTATGCAAACAATTAATTTGACGATGTATAGACACTCGTCACCTCGCCTATCTGTCGTTCACATGCATTTCACATAACAGATAGCTTAAGGGTTCTATTCCCTCAAGTCAAGGTTAACCACGACCCTTACCTCGCTTTGTAAATTCCAATAAATTATTCGACCACAGCTTTTCTTTTGAATTTGTCTCCAAAAGCGTCAAATCTATTCACAAACAATTCGATATACTCAATACGAATTATAAGAATTAATTCCATATGAATTTACTAATTTTTCGGATAAAAATTCGAAATTCATTTAAATATTTAATAGTGGGACCCACGTCTCAAATCTCGAAAAATATTACGAAATCCGAACACCCGTTCCGATACGAGCTCAACCATACAAAATTTATCCAATTCCGATGTCAAATGGACCTTCAAATCTTAAATTTTTATTTTTGAAATATTTTATAAAAATCTGATTTTTCTTCCATAAATTCACGGATTCATGATGTAAATGAGTATGGAATCATGAAATATAATCAATATAGGATAGGGAACACTTGCCCCAATATTTTTCCGTAAAAATGTCCAAAAATTGCCTTACCCGAGCTCAAAATCGACAATGGTGGAAAATGGGTCGAAATCCCATTTCTAGAACTTAAGTTCTTTTTTTCAGATTTTTATTCATCGCGATCACGAAAATTCGTTCGCGATCGCGTAGAACAACTTTTGCCCGGGTTCATTTTACTCTTCGCGATCGCGGGAATGGCTTCGCAGTCGTGAAGCACATTTTGGCTGCCTAGACTTTTAACTCTACGCGATCGCGTAAATGGTCATGCGATCGCGGAGTACCTTTTCTCATCCTTACGCGGTCGTGTACTTACTTGTGCGATCGCGTAGCACAATTGACGTGCCTAGCTTCTGCCCTCATTCCTTCTACGCGATCGCAACTAGTCCCTCGCGTTCGGAGTGCACTTGGAGATTACCTTCCGCGATCACGTGCCTATCTTCGCGAACACGAAGGGTAAAACTCTCTACTTACAATTTTCTCTTCGCGATCGGGAAGTACAATGCACCAGATGACAGCAGAAGTTCAAAAATCATATTTTCTAAGTTTAAAATCATCCTGCCTATCCGAAACTCACCCGAGCCCTTGGGGCTCCAAACCAAACATTCACACAAGTCTTAAAACATCATACGAACTTGCTTGCGCGATCAAATCACCAAAATAACACCTGGAACTACGAATTGAACCCCAAATCGAATGAAATTTTCAAGAAAACTTTAAAACTTATATTTTCACAACCGGACGTCCGAATCACGTCAAATCAACTCCGTTTCTCGCCATATTCGGCAGACAGGTCATAAATATTATAGTTGACCTATACCAGGCTCCGACACCAAAATACGTACCCGATGTCAATAAATTCAACATCAGTAATTTCTTAAAAATCATTAAGCTTTCAAACTTTTAATTTTTCATCAAAATTTCATATCTCGGGCTAGGGCCTCGGAATTTGATTTTGGGCATATGTCCAAGTCCCAAATCATGATACGGACCTACCGGAATTGTCAAAATACTGATCCGAGTCCGTTTGCTCAAAATGTTAATCAAAGTCAACTCAGTTGAGTTTTAAAACTCTTTTTCACATTTTAATCTACTTTTCACATAAAAACTTTCCAAAAATTTTACGGGCCGCGCACGCAAGTCGAGGAATGATAAATAGTACTTTTCGAGGTCTTAGAACACATAATTAATTATTAAATTTAAATATGACCTTTTGGGTCATTACATTCTCCACCTTTAAAACAAACGTTCGTCCTCGAACGAAGTTAGAAAAAGTACCTGACGTGGTGAATAAATGTGGATATTTACTCTGTATGCCCGACTCGGGCTCCCAGGTAGTTGCCTCAATCGATTGAACTCCCCATTATACCCGAACTGAAGGATAACTCTTAGACCTCAACTGACGAACCTGCCGGGCTAGAATAGCCACCGGCTCCTCCTCGTAAGTCAAATCTTTATCCAGTTGGACTGAGCTGAAATCTAACACATGGGACGGATCACCATGATATTTCCGGAGCATAGACACATGGAACACCGGATGTACCGCTGATAAACTAGGTGGTAATGCAAGCATGTAGGCTACCTCACCCAACCTTTCAAGAATTTCAAAGGGTCCAATATACCTAGGGCTCAATTTGCCCTTCTTTCCGAACCTCATTACACCTTTCATAGGTGAAACACAGAGCAATATTCTTTCTCTAACCATGAATGCAATATCACAAACTTTATGGTCAGCATAACTCTTTTTCCAAGACTGAGCTGTACAAAGTCGATCCTGAATAACTTTGACCTTACCCAAAGCATCATGTACCAAAACGGTACCCAATAATCGAGCCTCTCCCGGTTCAAACCAACCAACCGGCGAACGTTATCGCCTTCCATATAATGCCTCATATGGA